CAAGCCGCAGCCACAGCCGCTCGCCGTCGCCCCCGAGGGAGAAGCCCACCAGGCCGCCGGCGTCCCCCGCTGTGGGCGAGAAGCTGAGAAAGTGAGCGGGGGTGGGGCGGGCGGGGGGCGGGGCGTGGTCAGCGGCGGGCAGGGTGGCTGAGCTCCGCTGTTCTCTTTCTCAAGGGAGCTCCTGCTTCGGGGCGTCCGAGGGGGACAGCGCTCTGCCCCGGGGGTCTGGCTGTGCGGGGGGTACACGGCCGTGGCCTGAGGGATCCGAGTGGGGGCACGGTCCCTCCCCGGGGGGGGGCATTTCAGAGGCCCACGGCTTCGGCTGTCTGGTCTGAGGGCAGTGCTGAGGGGGCGCAGGGCCCAAGGTGCAGCCACCCTTTCTTCCTCCCAGGACCGAACCTGCCGCTGGTAAAGAGACAGGAGCTGCCAAAGTCAGTAAGAATTTGGAACTCGCCCGTCTAATTCCCGCCAGCAGCAGTGCCCGAGAGCTGGGCCCGGTGGGCCTGCAGGGGGGACCCGGGGGAGGGCAGGGGGGCCGGGACATCCAGCCCTGGGGTTGAAGCGGGCTGGGAATGCTCTGCCCCGTCAGGTTCCGTGCCCCCCTCCCCTCCTCCCTGTCCACCGGGGCTCCAGCTGTCCCCAGGCCTCCCAGACCCCTGGTGGTGGGCATCTGCGGCTGGTCCCTCCGCCCCACGTGCCCCTGCAAGTCCCAGGCTCTTGGCTGAGGTGGGTGGTGGGAGCTCCGGACACCCACCCCCTCTCCGCCTCTTCTCCCCCTTCCCCAGCCTAAGCTGACGCCGCAGGAGAAGCTGAAGCTGAGGATGCAGAAAGCACTGAACAGGCAGTGTACGTCCCACCCCCTGTCCCCGGTCTGCTCCACTCCTCTGCCTGCCAGCGTGGCCTTGGGGGGGTGGACACCCTGCCCGCCCGCTCCTGGACAGGCAGGCGTCAACGAGGTGTGGCGCTTTTGGGGAGGAGTCAGTGTGCGTGCCGTTCCGTTGCCCCCATGCTAAGGGCCGTGGCCATCTGGTTGGCCTCTCTGGGTTCAGTTTTGTCTTCTGGGAAGGGGGGATGCTTTTGAGGGCCCCTCTCAGCCATCACGTTTCTCCTTCCCCACAGTCAAGGCGGATAAGAAGGCGGCCCAGGAGAAGATGATACAGCAGGAGCATGAGCGCCAGGTAAGGACGGCAGTGAGGGGTGGGGGGCCGGGGTGGGGGACCGGGGTGGAGGACTGGGGTAGGGGGCTGGCTGGCCGACCTGCCCTCACAGCCACGTCTGCCACAGGAGCGGGAAGATGAGCTTCGAGCCATGGCCCGCAAGATCCGCATGAAGTAAGACCATCGCACTCCCCGAATCCAGGGCCACGGCTGCCCGCACTAGCCCTCAGGGTGGGAGAACGCCCACGTGCCTGCCCAGTCCTCTGTCAGCTTGCTCGTTCCAGCCGCTGTGGCCCCTCCCAGCCGTGCCGGCCCCGGATGTATGGGGCCTCTGTGTCCTCCCTGGCTTCGCTTGTCGGTCCTCCCTGACCGTCCTTTCTAGAGTAGCACCCCAACACGCTCCATTCTCCAAGCCTGCTATGTTTTCTTCAGAGCGCTGACCCCCGCCTGGCACGCCCTGTTTTGTTTCCTTGCTTGTCGTTGATGTCTCCGGAGAGGGGACGAGAGGGCAGGTCCACCTGCTGGGTTCCTGCTGTGTGCGCAGCCCCCAGATTAGAGGCGGTGCTCAGCAAGCCAGCCCCACGGCCGGTTCTTCACATTTCGGGGCGGGGCTCCGCCCTGCTCCCCTTCTGTTTCTCGGCTCTTCGCTCTAAAGGGGACAGGCTCACGTCCTGGACCAGGCAGCCGCGGGGTCCGGTCCCGGCTCTGTCCCTCTGTGACCGTGGGGCCCCGGGGGTGGGCGCTGGCCCTCTCAGGCCTCACTCCAGCCTCCGCAGCCAGGACAGAACTCGGTGACGACCTCGCAGGGCAGCTTGGGGAGGAGCCCACTCGGGGCCCGGTGCACGGTGCTGGCCAGGAGGAGGGTCCGTCCGTAACAGGGCTAGGTCACCGGCCGCTTGTTCGTGGGTCCTCGGAGCCGAGACTCCTTCCTCTTCCTCTTCTGGGGACCCTGCTGCAGGGCTTCCTGCGCGGTGCCTAGCGTGTCAGCAGGCTGCTGGGTGTATCATCACACACCCGTCGTGCGCTGGGCCCCAGAGGGTGCTGCCTGCCTCCGTCGGGTGGGGAAGCAGAGTGCCCAGGGACTCGGCATTGTGGTCAGTTGGATCCCGAGTTCTGATCCTGCCTCCGCTGCCCAGCAGCTGTGGGCCGCCTTCTTGCCTGGGCCTCAGTTTGCTCATCAGTGAAATGGGGATGGAATAGTTGTCCCAGCCCACGGGCCTGTTGGGCAGATTCAGATCTGGGCCAGGCGAGTAGCAGGGGCCCGGTAAATACAGCCCTTGGGGTCGTGAGCCCCGGGCATCCCGACAAAGGCCGAGGAAGCACTTTGTGAGTCCCTGTGTTGTGAGACTACCTGAGTGTGACAGAGAAAGGTCAAACTTTCCAGCTCGATCCCGTGTGTTCAGCAAGCTTTTCAAAGCGAGGCCGACGGAGGCTCCCATCCTGGCTCTGCCCAGCCTGTATCCCTCTGAGCCCAGGGCTCTCATTCCCAAGCAAGGACAGCAGCTCTGTCTGCCCCCGCGTTTACCCTGCCACTTGCACCGGGATGTAGGACGCACCCGCTCTGGGCAGGCGACCCAGCCGCACTCTCGAGTTCAGTGTTCTGGCGTGTGCTCACGGCTGCCCCTGGGCTCCGTCCCTTTCCCCTGCAGGGAGCGGGAGCGCAGAGAGAAGGAGCGAGAGGAATGGGAGCGCCAGTACAGCCGGCAGAGCCGCTCACCCTCCCCCCGTTACAGTGAGTACCCCCGCGGCTGCGCGGCCTGCAGCTCCCCTCTGAGTCAGGCTGCAAGAAACCACGGTATGGTTTCGTCCTTCGCACTCCGCGAGTTACAGTTCTTAAGACACACGCTCAACGTGATGGCTTTAGTCACGAGGGAAAGGCAGGCTTCAGAAGCAGTGCTCGTTGCCCGGCCTTGGTGCGGGCCGAGGGGCCTGGCTGGAGGCACAGGGGTCGCCTCGGCTAGAGGCAGCCCCGGGGCCCGGCCCTGAGCACTGGCTTTGCTCTTGCTTCCGCAGGTCGAGAATACAGCTCTTCCCGAAGGTAAGCACGCCAGCCCAGTGCCCTGGAAGGTGACCGTGCCCCTGCCCTGATTCTTCCGTCCCTGTCCCAGCTGCACAGGCTGGCCTCGACCCTTGTTAATGTCCCTCCGTCCGCAGCTTGCGCCCCCATCACCGATGCCCCCGAGGTCACAAGTGTGTTGGTGCGCGCGTGCGCGCACGTCCTCACGGGGGCCCCCCTCTCTCTCTCTGCAGGCGCTCGAGGTCCCGGTCTCGAAGTCCCCATTACCGACATTAGGCAGAAGCAGGGCAGGGGGGGGGCCAGGGGGATGGGGGGGTGAGGGCTCAGGCTGTGATGCTGCTGGTTTTGTCTCTAATGAAATAAAATCACTCGTTATTTAATTCCCTTGACCTGGCCTCGGTGTCATCTGTGTGGTCCGCGTCGGCCGGCCGCCGAGGGCAGCTCGGGCCGGGGGTGGTCGGGTTTCGGGGCAGAAGCTGACACAGGAGCCTCGCGGCCAGCCCTGCCCGTGTGTGGGTGTCCGGGTGGCAGCTCCCAGTTCGGCGGCACCGCTCTGGGCACGGCTCGGCGAGGGCAGGGGCCCGCTCGGTGGGGAAAGGGCGCCAGCACCCAGCATGTGGGGGATGGGCCAGGACTTTGCCCAGGGGCCTCCGGTGACAGGTCCGGGCTTCTCCCCGCCCTCGCCTCGGCCCCTGCCCTGGCCTCGCCCACACCGGGAACCGGGAGCGCGGCTTTCTGTGCCAGTCTTGCGGTGCCCGGGGCGCTGGGGGCTGGCCTTTCCCCTCACCCCCTCCAAACCGGTCCGTCCAGCCGTCCACCCCAAGGAGGGGAGCCACCCGCCCCACCTGAGACACCCCGAGAAAGCCAGAGTCCACACGCGGGTGTAACTGGGCAGGAGGATTTACTGGCGGCGGAGGAAGGACAAGGACGTGGAGCAGCAGCGGCCCCCGCGCGGCGCCAGGCCCCGCAGCTCAGGCCTCCCCGCCCGCCTCGGGGTGCTTCTGCCGCAGGTGTTTGTCCAGGGTGGCGCGCAGGCCGAAGGGCACGCAGCAGTGGGGACACTCAAAGCGGGCGCCGCCGGGCCCCAGGCCGTGCATGCGCCGGTGGCGGTTGAGCTTGCTGCTCTGTGCGCAGGCGTACGAGCACAGCTCGCAGGCGTACGGCCGCTCGCCCGTGTGCGAGCGCCGGTGCACCGTCAGGTTGCTGCTGTTGGTGAAGTGCTTCCCGCAGAACTCGCAGCTGCCCCCGGGCCCGCGGCTCTTGCCCGCCGCCTTGGGCGTCTTCCTGGGGGACGTCTGGCTCTTGGCAGGCTCAGTCGTGTGTTCCTTGGGGGTAGGCCCCCAGCTGGCCCCGCCGCCGGGGGCCCCAGGTTCCTGGACGCCCGCCGTGGCCGCCGCCCCGGCGCCCTCCCCGCTGCTGCACTGGAGGCTGCTGGCGGGGGCGGCCGCGTGGGCGGCGGGCTCCGGAGGGGCCGTGGCGGAGGCCTGTTCCTGACCGGCTTTGGCCCCGCAGGGGCTCTGAGGCCGCGGCTGCCGGTGGGTCTTCTTGTGGCGGTTGAGCTTGCTGCTCTGGGTACAGGTATAGGGACACTGGTCACAGGCGTAGGGCCGCTCGCCGGTGTGCGAGCGCATGTGCACTTTGAGATTACTGAAGGAGCTGAGGGTCTTCGCGCACACAGGGCAGGTGGGGCTCCGCCGGGGCAGGACGCTCATCCGGGGGCCCTTGGCCTCCGCTTCGGGCCCCACCACTGCCGACACAGCGGCGGCTACCGCGGCCAGGCCCAGCAGCGGGGCCTCGGGGGCCTCGGGTTCCGTCTGGTAGATGGACAGGCCGTGGTCCCACTGGGCATGGCGCAGCAGTTTCCAGGCCCCTGTGAACTGTCTCCCGCAGCGAAAGCAGCTCAAGGCCTTGGGGTCCTTGCGTTCTGCAGAGAGAAGGGCCGGGTGTTAGGGAGATGCACGAAAGCAGCAGTCTCACGCCTGCCAGTCGGCGGCCTTCTGCAGCAAAGGCCCTTTTGCGGGGACTGAGAACGCACAGCAGGGAGGCAGAAACTCCCTGTCCTCAGGAGCCGAGGTGCAGAAGTGGGCAGACAGACAAGTTAAGGAGAATCTGTGAAGTGGACGACGACTACCTGGGGATTCTGTGTGTCTGAGAATCTTCCAGAAAAAAGGGACAGCAGAGTGAGGGACGGGAGGAGTGCTATTTTCTATTGAGGGTGGGGGGGGGTCAGGAAGGCCTTACTGGAAGACAAGACCAAATTCTGGGTGCTGGGCGCCGGGCCATGCCCCCTGCTCACTGAGCTTCCCACCTAGACAAGAAACAAGAGTTCTGTTTTCCAGATGGGAAAACTGAGGCAGACACACTTCTCCAAGGTCACAAGCTTGCAAGGGTGGAGTTGGGGTTTCAATCCAGAAACCCGGGGAGTGCGAGACAGATTTTCAAAAAAGACTGTTGGCTTGATTACTGAGTGGGTTTCTGTGCCAAGCTCCAAGTTCACGAGTTCCACGCATGGTCTCCTATTCCCTGCCTCACAGAAGAGGGGGCCAAGGCCTAAGTGGGGAGAAGGCTTAGCAGCCACCTAGAGGTCAGGGTGGGGCAGTGAGTTAGGTCCCCCTCCCTTGGCATGGACCCCAAATTAAGAGCCCTCCAAATTGGATGTTTTCTCTAGACCCTCCAGGTACTATGGGTGAAGTACTTGCCTTTACTTTTCAAATTCTAGACCGTCTGGGACGGGAGTGGCTTTCCTGATGCAATACCAGGGTCAGGAGCACAGATGGGGGCTGGAGAGTGTCAGCCTGGCCCGACTTCCAACTAGTTCTCCGGCTCCCTAGCTGTGTGGGCGAGAAACACTCCTCTCTGGCCCTCAGTTTTCTCATTTGTCAGAATATGGGGATCCTGGGGATCCTCTCCCTTTTAGGGCTGTTGTGACCTCGGATGGAGAAGAACTGAGAGTTCTGGTCCATGTCAGCCCTCAGTAAACATGAGCTGAGCCCACGTGGCTGAGGTGCCCACATTGCTCCAAGTCCAAGCACCTGGGAGTGTTCAGTGATTCCATCAAGGCCCCTCCCTGGGCCACCAGATAACCTGCTGGCTTCAAGTCTACAGCTAATTCACAGTCCCTCCTTCCCCTCCCCCACTACGGGACCTCCCCCCCCTCCCACGCCAGCCCAGGCCTGAATGTAATTCCATCTCTCAAAAATCCTAGGAACTCATGGGCCAGGGGATGGAAACGTGCAGGTTTGGAGGAGCCTCGGCCTGCGATGAGCAAGAGTTCACCATGAGTCTGGTACCATGTCAAGGGCTTTCATTACCTCCCAAGAGAAGGAACCCAGGTGTCCAGACACCCACGACCTGGCCCAAACCAGGGGCTTCCCAGCGTGCAGGGCTGGGAGATTCCATCAGAGAGGGAAGCCAGAGGCCCCTTCCCTGACTCCGAGCAAATGCACCCAGCGCCACAATCAGAAGTGATCAAGAGGTGGGACGGGGTGGCCATGCCACGCCTCCAGCTGGCCTCGGCTTCCCCTCCCCCAGGTTGCTGCCCTCCCCAGAGGTCCCCCTACTGCCACAAGGGTCCGGCCACCTGGCCAGTTATTTCTGGCCAAGGGGAAGGAGAAGTGAAACCAGATTGGGGGTGTGTGTATGTGTGTGTGTGTGTGTGTGGCAAATCCCCAGACCAGTCTTCAGGGGCTGGCCACACCCTGTGGGCGGCCCTCCTACAGGCCCCGCCCCGCCCCCACTTACCACCCCCCCCACCCCTCACCACTAGTCCCAGCCCTAGGACAGGGCAGGCCCTGGCCACGCCTAGGCTGCACCCGATGGGGAGCGAGAAAAGGGAAGTAGTGCTCACTGCCCCGCCTGTCCAGCTCAGCCCCTTCTCCCACAGGAAGCCGGGCCCTTGAACTTGAGAGGGGGCCTGCATCCCGGCTTGACTCACCTGAGCCCTGGCAGGGGCTGGGGCCTCTGAAAAGCTGACAGTCCACCTTCTTGTGGTCCATGAAAGCAGTGATGGCCTCCAACGGAAAGGTCTGCAGGCAACGGCCGCAGGTCAACAGATCTGGGTGTTTGTCGGTCCAGGGCTGGCGGTCTGCTGGGAGGAAGCGGGTGGTAAGCGTGGGGTGGGGCCAGGATGGGGGCTGGGGGTTCCGAGGGAGAGGGAAAACCCGAAGGTCAGAATGGGGGCTGGAGGCCAGGACCAGGCAACAGAAATAAGGCGGGGGCCGGGCGTCGGTGCCTGGAGGAAGGAGTCCCACGTACCCCCCCAACCCCCTCGAGTTAAGGGGAGAGAGGCGGGGCAGGGGTAGGGGGCGCTCACCGCGAGGGTTGACGATCAGTGGCGTCCACAGCGCCCACTGGTTCCGCTCGCCCAGGGCGTGGAGAGGGCTCCCGGCGGGCACGGGGTCGGGGGAGTGGCGGGGTTCGCCCTCGAACCGCCCCGGCGCGGGCACTTCCTTCGGAGAGAAGAGCCCCAGCCCCGGGGCCTGGAGGGGCCGCGCGTCTGGCTCGGGCTTCACTTCGATGACGAGGTCCGGCATCTCCATCTCGTCGTCTGTGTTGGAGGCGGGCGCGGGGTCTACTCGGCGAGGCGTGCAGCCGGCCTTGCGGCGGGACATGGGTCGAGGGCCGGCCGGCCGGGCGGGCTGGCGGGCGGAGGACGCGCGGGCCGTGCGCGCTCAGTCCGAGGCGCTCAGGTGAGTGACTGCGGCGACCCGCCGCGAACCCTTACACGTGCTGGCCCGGCCCGTGACTCCGCCCACCGGGGCGGGGCCTGACGGGAGAGGACGGGGCGGCCCCGCAGGGGCCCCAGGCGGCAGCCAAACTCGATCAAAGCCGAACCCACTGCATTTTCTTAGGGACCAAACCTTAATGACGTCCGGGTCTCACGACCACGTACACGAACAGCTATTCCTGATCCCGTTTTAGGGCCGGAGTAACTGAGGCACGGGGTGCCCACACCCACCCCCGAGAGAGAAAGCAGTAGGGGCCACGTTTCTCGCTAGGCGCCTATGAGTAATCGGGACTATTTCATTAAATGCATTATAAAAATTCAGTGGGCAAACATTTATTGAGCCTTTACTGTGCACTGGGTTCTGTTCTAAGCACTGAGGGTACCGCAGTGAACAAGACAGAAAATAATCCCCGGCCTCACGCAGTTTATTTGTTGGGGAGAGAGACTCTCAACAAGGTAACTGCAAAACTTAAAAGAGTGTGTCCCAGGATGACAAGTGCAATGGGGCAAAATAAAGCTAGGAGGGGTTATAAAGGGACAGGGTTGCTGGGGTGGGGGGTGGGGGTCAGCTTTCTCCAGGGCAGAGCATGGTGGAACTGAGACCCGAGGGAGGTGAGGGGGCCAGCCGGCCTTGTGCGTTCAAGAGTAACAAGGAAGGGGG